TTTTTTTTTTTTTGCGTTTCTTCGCGACAAATGATCAGTGTATCAAATAAACTGCTATGTTTGGATATTTTTATAAATTAAAGCTAACATACTTGCTCCAAAAAACCATTATGCTTGCCGATGACAGCAGTTTCTTGACTTCCTCGCAATATGATGATATCCTCAGGCCAGTGTATTCTCATAATCAAAAGCAATAGTACTGTACAACACTGGCTTCTCGTATTGCAGTTCCTCCCAGCGTAAGAGACATTCGCATTACCGACAATGTTACCTAAAATTTGTAAACAGTCAATAATGCGGCAAAAAGAGGGATTAAATTCTGTTGCAAATCGCAGCAATTTTTGCTTCCCATGAGCGCTTTGGAGAGTTAAGATTTCTTACAACTCATTTCTAATCACCTTAGATAGACTGAGTCATGTGCTGTCTTGTCAAAGTCAGCGAGTGGTTGCAATTGGCGATATTAATCCAGCAAAGGGCAGAGTTCAATAGGAATCATTCTTGACTATTTTTTGGAAAATCCTTAAGAGAAAATTTTTGCAACTTGTGAATCAGGGAGGCTTAAAAGAGAGAACTGAGAAGTTTTCAGTTGCATCAGTGGCGGGAAGAAATGCGATGATGAAGCAAGATGATCAAAGTAAGCACCAAGAAAAATGTACGTGGCTTTCGGTGGTATACCGTAGGCATGAAAAATATGCAGCAGTGCCTCGAAATTACCATACAAGCTTCCAACCAAAATTATTTTGCCTTCTCTCAATGGCTTCGTTATCACCAACGCTGGCTCTTGTTTCAGAACATCTGCAGCACAGTGTAGAATCTGCAATTTCAGTAAATCATTTTCAGAAACTTTTAGCTAAGGAACAATACTTTTTCGGTTCTTTTTCGGTTTTTTTAGTTCTTTTTTAGTTATTTTTTTTTAACCATAAGCACTTTATTCCGGACTCCGCCTTGCCCGGACCTTGTAGAACACGGAATTCAACTCGTTATAGCTTTGAAAGAACCTGAACGGCTTCTTTTGCTGTTAATACTTCGTTAGCAGTTTTGTTCTGACTTGCCGCTTCCATCAGTTGTTGGAACCACCGTCTAAATCTTTCGTTAAATGCATCTCCCTCCAGCGCTTCACATGTGGGTTGTCGAAATAGCAGCCGAGATCGTTGAGAAGATGACATTTTAGGAGTTTGGTTTCGAAGTGTCTGAAAGTGTCTTTGAGATATCATGATCATCTGGGTTGTAGACAGTGAATTGTCATTGCTACTAAAGAAAATTTCATTAAAGTCCTTCCAGCTAGGAACTTGTATTGATTATCAACTACGGTACTATGAGCGTATTTCGTCGCTTCAAAAACCATTAATTTGCCTAGTTCTTAAGCGTAGTACACGCAGACACGGTAAATCATGACCAGGGGCCCAAACTTCCTCCGTATTCCTGCTCTTCAAAAGGCAAAGGCACTGAAAAACAGCCCAAGTTATAGCACATATAAAACCAAGTAGAAACACACCCGGCTTGCCGGTGCGATCATGCGTTTTTGCACCAGATTTGAAGTACTCACGCCATTATTTGCGTGAATAGTTGTTGCTTTACGCCTACCTTTTGCACTCACTAGCGTAAAGCACCATAAATTTTGCGTAAAGTAAATGAACAACTTCCATTTAACGGCCGTTCTTTGAAAGTAACCTAGCTGTTCAGTAAGCTATTTTCCCTTCAAATCTTTCATGTGCTCATACGTGAGAACTGTGCATACCTGAAGGCTGATTTTGAAATATTTAAATTGCACTTGAGCTGGGAGCATTATCCCGAAATTGCAGCTTTCTAGCTTTTCTGGTTCCCGAGTTAGTAATTTTCCTGCCAAAACTATCATACGCTCTTACATGTGTTCCACACATAAATGGGGGTTGAATTTGATATCTTTGACTTACAAACGATAGGGAATACCCCTATAAAGTTTCATCCCCTTACCTTATTTGCATCTTGAGATCACGCTCTCGCCAAAAAATTTGCATATTTTTCTAAGACTCCGTACGCGGTACCCAGGCGTAAGCGTGCGATCATGTTAAAACGGGACGGTCGCGCATGGTGCAGGCGCATACTCCCAAAGTTTCAGCTTTCAAGCTTTTCTGGTTCTCGAATTGAAAGTGGGTGACAAAAAGCGCGGACACACAGACAGCCTCTGGCCAGTATGGGTTTTTGCAATTTGTATATATGCAAAAACGCGTAATAAAAATCACCCTCACTTGAATTATCAAAAAAGATTTTTCTTGATTAACTGATTTAGGGGTTTTTTTCTAGAGAAAAGGAAAGGCAAATTTTGTCTACCTGCACTATTTAAACCCTTATTAGGTTGCAACCACGAAAAAAACAGCAATACTTACCTCAATCGAAAATTCGCAAGGCGGCCAGAAATTATAGTTTCAGTAAGCGAACAGACATGTTAGCGTGACTAAAAACTATGTTAATATGATTTTCTGAGACCAATGCCTTGTTTATATACTAGCTAAATTTGCAAATTTGGCCCTGCGCTTAAAATCCAGCTTTAATTTGCATATTCTTGGAATTATATGGATGAGAGAGGTCCAAAGTGGAGCTGAGTTGGGAGCTCCAACTAAATTAACTGTGGAGACGAAGGAGAAAGGAGTGAAGGTGGGCAGGAGGAGGGAAAACCGGAAATGCTGGATTAAACCTTTGGAGGATAGTAATGGATTTGGGACGTCGACTGGGGCGGAACCTTGTTCGGAGATACAAATTGAGGACAGGGATGAGGATTATGAGTTATATTGGTTCATGATGCTAGGCAAGTTAGTAGATATTGAGTAAAAGTTAGATTTGTGCCTGCGTCCCAAAATGTCATCGGAAGAAAAAATCTGCTTCTTGCGCGCGACTGTCATTTTGCGCGGCCGAGCTGAACCGAACTGAATTTTAGTAACTGCATAAAATAGGGAAGAAGCGAAAAGTAGCGGGCTGCATTAAAGCCAAGAAGAGACATGACGATGAAGCAGAATCTCACCAAATTAATTTTTAGGCTAAAAGTACCATGAATCCAACGGCTGTTAGGAAAATCGGTGCATTTCTTCCCAGTGAACAATCAGCCAGACAGCTACGTCGGGTTCTTTGTTTTGGGTTGCAGGCTTTCGCTTAGTTTGTTCGGTTCGTGTGGATCATCTTTCGAGGCTGTCCAACGGGTCCTTTTATTTCTCGCGGGTACCACTCATTAATGTGCGACATCCATCAGTTGTCAGCAAAACGAGCAGCAATTCCCGTCCACCGAATTTTACCTTTCCACGTAGTCATAGTGTTATCCTGCACCCCGGTCATATAGCTAAAAGTCTGACTGCTTACATAGTTGCGAAAAGGCATGTCAAGGACCTTCCCCTCCATCGCTCTCTCCGTCACAACCAGCGATCGCTCTTCAGCTTTCGTGATTGTCATCGCCTTCAGCACAAAAGCGATGTTGAAAATGTTTTTTTCAGCGTAAAAGTACGACACGAAAATGGGAAAAAGTGACGTTTTCACGTGACTTGCAATGTCGACTGAAAGAAAATACATGTTGTGTTGTGTAAAAAGCCCTCCACTCGGGCCGTATTTCAAGCTACTGGAGAAGGCGGGATAACACGTAAAATGAAGAAAGCAGCCCCGAAACTAACTTGCTTTTTCGTGTAGTTTTACCGCAAACTTTTTCATTCATTTGTGAGTAATGCGAAATTCATGCCTTCTTTCTCCACTGCAACTCGCTTATCGTTGCCAGTGGTACTCTCCGCATGCAAAACATCTTCTTTAAGTAGCTCTGGGATAGAGCTAGTCTAAACGTAGTTGTTTATCACATTTGACTTCTAATCACTTTATCATGACCGTCTGTGTTTCTCAAAGTTGGTACCATTCACACTGCTTCTTATGCGTTTTTTGCAGCAATGCAATGCGAAAAACGCATATTGACGAGAGGTTGTCTGTGTG